TACGTCCGTGCCTGCTGGGTGGATTTCTCTTGAGCAGGATGTGATGGCAGGACCTTTTCAGGATTTTCCGTTTTCATAATTCTTCACAAATTCATGTGTTCATTTACTGCACATTTACCCCACATAAATGACTCTCTGGCGGCTACTCTAATCTGTAAGGCAACCTTCATTGATGCCAAAGTATTCAGCCCAGGCCTGCAGCCCTATAAAAGAGAGCCTAGAATTGTGTGGTGTTGCATAATTTGCTTTGTTCCACTGAATGCCAGTAGCGTCATTTCATACACAGCTGGATTAGCGAGCAGCGGCGCTGTGCCGCTTATCAATGGGGCCCTGGAGCATTTTCGTCCGCAGTGCTAATCCGCGGGCGCGCTATGCCCAAAACAGTGGTATACTGTTTCAAAGCAGTGCCAGATTACCTTTGAAAAATGGAAGGTGAAAAATGATGGCAATTCCCAGCAGCAGGTCCTTTGTTCCGAGTAGTCTTTCGTTACACAGACCAGCTCTTTTGTCCGGAACAGGGCACCCCGGCTCTGCGTATTAACACACGGTGCCCGAAACCGGGCTCCCCAGCAGGAAGTGGTTAAGGAGCGGAAATGTTTGCTCTTGAACTTCCTGAAGCTCTTCTGTCTCCCACACATGCATGCACTATCGGCAGAATGAAATATCTCACATTGAGTGTGATATATGGATATATCACCCTGTCATGATCATTCTGGGCCAATAAATGGACAGTATCCAAGATCGAGATATGACAACTTATATTACAAGCCACAGGAGTGAATGTAGGGGAATATACATGTACACTGTATGTGTATCACCCAACTTTTTACATAAGCTTACAATATATTTAACATGTAAATCTGTATAACAGCCCCCCATAAGCCTTCTGAAGTTCGAGGATTGCCTATTTGGCACAAAAGCCCTGGATTTATTTCAACTTAAAGCCTTGACTCTTAACATTTCTTGCTTCAATATGACTACTAATTGTTACTTTAAATGAATTGAGTGATGTCCAACCAAGTTGCCACAATAACACACGTACAAAATTGAAGCTGTCTACAAGTTCTTTGCTCAAACAAGATGTTTTATTTTTGAGCCTTATTCGAACTTCCAATGCCATTAGATGTTTCCACAGCAAAGGCAAGTCACAAACAAGATCTCCTGCTAAAGATGGTAGTAAATTAACAGAAAGAAAAATGCTGGAATTACAAAAACGTGCCAAAAATGACCAAAATTTTCCTGGATAAAAGCGGCTGGGAATCAAATTGTGTAAGAATGGCTTTAACCTGGCACCTGCCAATTGCAAACTTTAAATAATCCAAACTTCAAAAGTTTTCATTTGATTCAATTGATTCAAATTTTCTGAAAATAAATTTTACTGAAAACTGTTTGCAAAAATGCAGCAAATAAGCTTTCCCCTCAAGGATGAATTTCAGATTCAAACGCAAAGTTGTAAAACACTTGGGCGAAAAATTCATCAACTGGTACAAAATCTCCTACAAAAATGAAAATCCATTGGCAGATACCTGGGTTTGTGAAAAAAACCAAAAAACCACAGCCAGTAAAGCAAGTCTGATGGAAAAGACACAAACACCTCAACTACAATACTGTAATACCATTAACATTTGCTCTACAATATGCCAGGTCTTACGAGCTGAATCCAGCATACAGCCGATGATACCAAGATCTGTCTTTTTGAGTATTTCTCCTTAATGGCGGTGAACTAACAGTTTCCATTTCCTTGGCTTCAAATTTAGTGTTACACATCTTAAAGTTCCTTTGACACTCCCACCCCTAGATCAACTTGCTTCAAGGATCATAAGTACTGTTTGCATGTTTGTCCTCGTGTCTCAACTAAATGTCAAAACAAGGTCAATATACATCCTTGGTTTTTCAGTGACCCACAATCAATCAGGGAGCATACACAGGTGTCATTATCCACAAACTTTGCAAATGTTGACTGATTTCGGCCAAAAACGAATCTCTGTGCCACTCAATGTGGTTCATCAGAATAATGTAAGCAAAAATTTCTTGTATCATCTTCCAAGAGGGTTGTGGATATTTTTACCAACTCTTGGTGACAGGGCACTTAGTTTTTTAATCTAATGGTCGATCTTACGTTGACAGATTGCAGTTGAAAAAAGGGAAGCACAAAGCCTTCATCTATGCCTAAAATGGCCCTCAAACATCTCTTCAGGGTTGGGTATCATTGTTCAGAAGCTAACATTTCCCTAGGATGTCTGTGGTGATGTATGTGGGTGTCTGCCTGGCCTAAACGTGATGTTACTCATTCCTTGTTCTCTGATGTATCAGCCTGGGCTTTCTCCTCAATCGGTCCAGGACTTCCCTAAATATAACAAAATACAAGAGAAATGTGTAAATAAAAGACCTACAGACATTACAAGAAACAAGGAAATGTTTTTACTCTTCCAGAAACTAATCTGAGCAGTATAGTACAGAGACCCCTGCTAACCGCCTGCCTGAAATGGCGTGGTTCACATCAGGCTGCGGGCAAAGTAACATTAGGGTATCTAAGCAATTGTGTCATTCATAAGAAAAGAATATCCAGCAAATTTCATCCCAATGTTGAAACATGATTCAATAAGATGCAGTAAGAGCTGAACAGCGCCATCACAGTAATAACATGAGTTGGCTGTATAGTAATTTTGTGCAAATGTCTTGTTCTGACTTATGATCCCAGACCTTAACCCTAACCCTCCTCAATCCTTCGCCCGTTGGAGGACTGAGGAGTGTTAGGGTTAACATGCACCATACACTGACTGATTTTACCTCTCCAGAGTCAGTCTTTTGGTTGCGTGAGCCTTGAGGTCTGCGTCTACGATAGCGTCTGCGTTGAGGAGGGCGCTGTTCTCCCTCATTCTCTTTGTTCTCATTGCCAGGTCCTTCTTCATCACCTTCTTGACGACGTGGGCGTCTGTAATTCCGATAACGAGGACGGTAGCGACGACGGTTTGATCTCTCTCCATCCTCACCCTTCTCATCATCCTCTCGCTGTCAATTGAGAAAGTCAAACAGCAATGCATCAACAGGGTCCTCCAAATCAGACAACCCTAGCACAATCAAGTTATGAAGGTGTTACAGCAAACCAGCACTTCAAAGAGGATACAAGTTATACAAAAATGTGAAATCCTACAAATGCTCCTGTTTAGGATTATGGTTAAGGTCAATCACCTTTTCACCACCCTCGTCAGATTCAGGAGCTGGACGACGGTAACCACGGTTACGATATCTGCCCCGCCCTCTTCCTCTTCCTCTACCACCTCTTCCTCCACCGCGTTGTCGTCTTCCTTCTGTGTTATCTCCTCCCTCTGAAGTCCTCTCTTCCTCGCGATCATCCTCACGGTCATCAGTGTTCTTGCGGCGACGGTAGTAATTACGGCGGCGATAACGACGTCTGTCTGGAGCATACTTACTACCCTGGACTGCTTCACCATCAGGTCCAGTCACGTTGCAAGCCTCGTCTCCCTGTGTGAAGAAACAGACCAGAGTAACCCTTTCACCTCCATGCTAAAACTGGGAAACTATTCAATCTGTAAATACTGGATTAAGTGCCAAAATTAGAGTTAACGAGTTTGAAAAGTTATGATCTTCACAGCTGAATCACACAAGTGCACTCACTCTAACTCTGACCAACTTTTGATTTATGTTGTCTAAATTGTATATTAACCCTCCTTTGGTTTTACAGCACAAATGTGCACAAATGCCCACAGTCACTGGTGAACATGTATTTTCTATATGGAACTCAAACATGCAGAGGTTCAGTGTGTACACAGTAGGTTGTCAGGACAAAAGACCCAGGGTCTTTTGTGCAGTCCTCTTCTCTGCATTTGGTTTACTGCACAATTATGCACATGAAACAGTGAAGCACAGTTGTTGGGCAGCACATAAGTGCAAACTGATATTCCTGTGAGGGACTGTTGGTGCAGTGCACAACACAACACAGCTGTGCTTCATTGAAGTGTTCACCAAATGACCCAAAGAGTGACTTCAGCATAGAAGGGTTAATGAATAAATAAAATTGGGTAACCATGCGGTACTGCACATCAGTACATCCTTGAAAGTTCAAATTAGGAGATCCCAGTAGAGTTAATGTAAATTTACCTTCATTCCAGCAAGCACGTCAAACTCCACCACTTCCCCATCACCGAGACTACGCAGGTATTTCTTGGGGTTGTTCTTTACAATAGCTGTCTGTATGACAAAACAAATGTATGGTGGTACATAAACAGGGGCTTCTACAAGTGTAAAGTGTCTGAAGTGGAAGTATCACCAGGGAATTATGTAATGGAATAAAAGAGAACACCCAATGGGAACATTGCGCCAGTAATCATGTAGGAAGATACATGAATCAGTATTCAAAACAAATTCTAATGTTTACACCGACGTGGGTTTTACAGTTGTAGAAGTGCAATCTTTAAATGAGTGGCTTTTGGTAAAAGGTTTTTTAATATAATGAGGGGGATTTCTTACTTGGTGAACAAAGATGTCTTCCTGCGTGTCATCTCTGAAAATAAATCAAAAAATTTAACCATCAACTCTCAACTTTTTAAATAAAAGTTTAGAGTGACGTGTAAGCCTGGAGGGTTAAAGCCTTTAACTGCAGCAGAGAGTTCCTTTCACCCATCAAAAAAAAAAAAAAAATTACGGACAACACATAATGAGTTTGGAGTGCGGCAAAGCAATGCCGACTGCTTGCCTTTCTTAGCTGTGATGGGTTCTGACATATTGACTCCACAAGGCAGTACTGTTCTCTCGGCAGAGAGATTATTTGAAGGAGGTTGGAATACTGAAAGGTACTTGCATTTGAAGCTTAACCATAACCCCTGAAGCCCTTTTTGCTGGGGACCCTCCTCAATCCTCCAAAATCCTACGATTGGGGGGGGTGAAAAAATTGGATTCTCCTTCAATCCTCTGAAATCCTCCAAAATTTCTTGAAAATGTTACTTGGAGGCGTGGCTCCTGCATCAATCCTTCAAAATCCTCCAGCAGTTCCTGTCGTAATGCTGAAGCAGGGCTCAATTTATGCTCGACTAAGCAAAAACAACACACGGTCTAACCCACGACCTTCATGCATGGCATCCTTTGCAATTTTTACCATTCACCTCAATCCTCAAAAATCCTCCAAAACCATCCAAAGGATTTCAAGGATTGAAGAGGATTAGGGTTAAATTAATTGAGCATCTACATGCCCTAATTCCATGATAGAGTGATGACTTCAACTTTATGAGATGCTGTTATGGCTGTGCTATTTGTGCAATTCAGCTTTATACATCTTTTTCCAGCATCTTTTTGGACTAACCTGTTGATGAATCCATAGCCACTGCGGACATTAAACCACTTCACAGTGCCTGTGACTCCAGAGGCTTGGGAAACAAATTAAAACAAACTATGAAAATTTCCTCAGAAAAGTTTCGTTTATGCACCTATCAATTGTAAGACATTTGAAGTCCGAAGACACACCCCCTTCTTGTTAATGATGCACTTTTTACTCTATGATTTACTTCTATTCACATTTACAAAAATATTCAATTCTTGCAAAGATTTGGGCCTGAATTTCTTTAATTCCAGAGGACCATATGTACATACATTGTGTAACCACGCTGAATTCCATCTTGGACAAATGCATAATTTAAAGATTACAATGCCCTGCAACTTATTTATGGAATTAACCAAGACTTTTTCAGCTTTGCCTGAAATTTGTCGCGTTTTATTGGCTTAATCGGCCGCGTCTGTAAAGTCACTGTGATGCATTGAAAATAACCCATTTGACCCTGCTGGTCCCACACGAGATTGCTCTGGCTATTGCAATCACATTATGAGTAACAAACTAAAACTAGGCAAAAAAATGTGACTGAGTAAATAGTGAGTGATGATAAACAAATAAAGCATAACTGTAAGTACATGTAATGTGATGTCCTCCAAGTTGCAACATACATGTACCTGGGCTACGCCATCCCCATGTGTAAGTTCGGGCTACCGGCATGACCAGATGACCGCCGCGCCACGAGCAAAACAAATTTCGACGTGTTGCACTTCACGCTGGTTCTCATTAACAAAAGTAAACCGTCGAGTACCAGTTGTCGTGGTTGCACTACCCACTGCCCATAATGTAAGAATTACTGTGCTATGCGCAGTAGACGAAATTCACGTTTACTAAAAAAATGTCGACAAAATGGTTCGCATTCTTAGCCAATATCTCGACAACCACAGCACGTCTAGACGTAATTTTAACACCACCTCACCCAGTAATTTCTTTTCCATGGGCAATTCTGCCTCATGTTGTTGCTCCGACTCCTCGGGCATATTTTCTGGCAGATCTTTTTACCGGGCGTTGATGTTACTCCCCTCCGCACAACGATCTTTCTTTGTGCTGCCAAGATGGCCGTCCGTACGTACGTACTCGACTCGTGTGCGCGTCGCGCGAGGGATTGTGGTATTTTGTGACGTAATAAAATTGAGAACGAGCAGTTTAAATCCGTAAGAGGGGTGTCCTTCGATTTTGCCATCTCATCACCGTGACGACTCGTACACCAAAGTCAACGACAATTTCAAAACTACCAGGAGGGGTAGATGAAGGACAGCACCCCACAAAAGGAGTCATTTTTGCCGTGTAAACAATGAAAAGGCGATATTTTTCTCAATTTCATCCTTCGAAACGTGAACAAAGCCACAACATATCCTTACACCTCGATCAGGAAGCGGGTCGTAAATTTTATACATGAAAATTTCCATTTTGGGGGCACCAGCAAAAACAAGTTCAGTTTGGTACCCAGGTTGCAATTTGTTGATCTGCCAGGCCGGGGTGACTTGGGCCGAAACAGGATTATTTGACAGTTGAATTTATTTGAGCAGCCAGGAAAGATATTTAAAAGAAATAGCCGTATGTTATTAAAAAAAATGGAGTCAAAATCGGAAATAAATTATTTCCTTGATGAAGAATTAGTGTGAAAAGTTTGTGGATAAAAAATAAGTGAAAACGTTGCTCTGAAATCAAAACGAGGCCATATCAGGGATTTCCAAATCCACGTTTCTACACCTTACTCTGTTCGAAGGCTCTCTGGTCAAGAAATCAGAGAAACTGCAAAATGTGATTAAGTAATTCGGACATTGTACACTGTACCGTTTAGTTGGACCAAAGGATGTACAGTAATGAATAACGTCAAGGATTAACATGATTAGGCATGTTAGTTTGCACGAATAAATAACATCTACAGGTATTCCTTGGAAAAGTCGAGGCATCTTTGTCATTTTCAATTTCAAGCAAGTTAAAAGAGCTTTAAGATATCTTGATTTTGAGAGGTACCGGTGCCTTGATAGTTCAACTTCAAAGTTTCTTTAATCTACCTTGAACTACATTGGAGTAATGTCCCTGAGCACGCTACATCGACCACATCTTCACCGACTGATATGGCCGGACGTGAGCAAATCCATTTTGCGCAAACTCTGAACCAAAACGTACGCAAAAAGGCGCCCATATGTACATGTACAATGTACATGTACATGTATATGTACATGTACATGTAGATGTACATGTACTGTACATGTGGCCTGTACGTACGTGTACGGTCATGTAAGTACTTATTGGAATCTTGGCGGAGTGTAAGTTTCAAATATTTTCCTCAGTAAAATACCTCCCTATATATTAAAGAACAGTGCCTTGCGAATGAAAGTAAAAGAAAAAAATGATTAAATTTTAAGTAGACCACCGGACACGCAGGTTGCGCAACAAAACGTAAAGTTTGCTATCCACTTGCAAACTAATAACCACCCCTACTACTTGGAACAGTCTACTTTTGGGGGTAGCACAATTACTTCAATTCGGGTAACCCCTCTAAGGGAATTTCTCGTCGAAACGGTAATACGCATGCGTATGGCCTCCGCAATTGGTGGTCTTTTCCTCACAGCAGAGCCACATGTAAGCACTGATCATTTAACATTAAGCTCAATTTTTCATTATTTTGAAGAAATTAGGCCGTTGTTTTAAGTAATTTTATAACTTGAATGTTTCTAAAATGAGTTTCGTCTATTTTTGTCGTTGTTTAGCAGAAAACTTTGATCTTATGTGTATGAAACCTAAAATAAAACCAGCCTTGTCGTTGCACCACAGAGCCCCGTAATGTGTTGGGCGAGCATGCTTACACGTTGTTTGCAAAAGCCTATGCAATGACAATGCAGCGCCATAATGACTATGGTCTTGGTACAGTGGCAGTCATCAATATCTGGTCATGGCTGTTGCCTGTTGAGTCATGCCGCGTGCACGTCTTTCCTGTGAAATTGTTTTGTTCTTTTTATAACTTCCAAGCTTTGGGTTTACATGGTTAAAGTGTGAACATGATTGATACACAGAACTTGGGCCCTTTAGGGCCTACCCTTGTCATTTTGTCAGGGACTAGCCCAGGCATGCCAGGTTGGACCACGCAGGTTGGACGACATCTACATTGCATTGCAACTAACGTTCAGAGTGTGAAAGTCCTCTTACTTTGCGAAATTTTTTCAACAGTTTTTCTCGCATTTTTACCTGCTGAAGACAGCTCAAAATGTCGTACTCAAGTGCCTTCCAGCCTGAATTCCATGACCACTGTGTTGAAATTACTAAATACACCCTCGAACAACGTATTTTGCAGGAAATTCTGCGAAACTCCATGCTTTCCATTGCGATTTGTTAACAACCTACGTTCATGCGGTACGCATTTGCGCGTACACAAAATGGCCTCCAAGCTCGGCCTATGCTCACATTCTGTCAGTTATGCATGTTGTCTAGAGCTTGGTCCAGGTCTTCCCTCCATTACAAATATGTGGAGACGCGCAGACAATAGACATGATAGACCAAGCGGTATCTTTGGAAGCCCGTTCGGACATGGCCTTATCTGCGACTGCATCATGCCCACGACTCGTCCGTGCATGCGTAAGGGACACTCGGTTACCAGCAGTTTGTGCATGTGCGAGTACCTGTGCTAGATAAACGTGTATGTACATGTAGATCGTGAATTGCGACGGAAAGCATGGAGTTTTGCAGAATAGTCTTACAATACATGTACACGTAGTTTCAAGTCTTCTCGTTGAGAGAAAGTTAAATTTTGTGAGAACACAAAAGCCAGATTTTCCGCATTGGAGTCTCCCGTATTGCATGCACGACACCCCACAAATATGGCTAGTCTACATGTCCATCTATACTCACATGGACATGGACTCTGCAGTGATACAGAACTTAATGTTTTGGCCGTTGTCCCTTTACGTGTAATGTTTTTATCCTGACTCATTTTCATCAGTTCTGAATATATATTTCTTTAATTTTAAAAGATTGTCAGTGTTCAGTAGAAATGCACAGAAATTCAGGAGCCAAGGGGGATTTGTAGTACAGCCATGATAAGTGTAGCAACATTGTATTGGACATATCTGGATGATTGTCTATGTAATAGCCCAATGAAATTTGTAGAATAACGAAGGTCTAGAGCAAGCTTTAACATCTTCATTTCTTGCTGCCATTCTTTAGCCATGTACTCGGGCAAATTTACTTGCATACCTGCCAACCAGTACAATTTTGGCATTTTTGTACGAAAAATTGATGAAAATACAACCATACGTTTTTATGACCATAAAATACGGATTTTGATAATTTTGACACTGACAGAGAAAAAGAGGGCACTGTGTGAAACCTAAGCTAAAATGGCTGAAGTGGCTGCGAGCAACACTAAGCCACATGTCACGGGGTTCAATATTGCGAACTCATAAAGTAGAGCATTCGTGATTGGTGTACGTGGTGTGTCCATGCCCCTGGTAGCACACGTATCAACCAATCGGAACGTGGCGCACAAAACCAATTGGCATCCATTGTGGAGTGTACATTCGTGTGCATGCAAAAAAATTTCCCGAAGTAATCGTAAAACTGCGTGAATGAAGATGGCTTCAACTTCTAAGAAAGACACCCAAAAATGGAAGCAATCTTTCAGAAGGGAATATACGGAGAAATTTTAATTCATATTACCTTCCCTGAGAGGTGAACATTACGCTTGCTGCACTTTGTGTAGTTCTGACTTCAGTATCGGGCATAGAGGGAGTTATGATCAGGGTTCTCCCCATGTACAAACTAGCATATCGGGCCCGATATGCAATTATTTCTGCCCGATACGCAAAAAACGGGCCAATACCCATTTTTTCATCCCCGATACGCACAATATAATTAAGACTGAGAGTTTTCTTACATAAAGCAGATTGCATGTCCAGAAAATCTAGATGAAAAAACAGTTATAGTCCTGCATTTTTCCATGTACTGTATATGCATTGTTCACCACGGGCCGGCTTCAACACTGTACTGCACACTGTACATACATCGGCACCGAACATTCCACGTGGCCGGTGTTGCATGAAATCTGAACTTCCGTCGTGGGCGTCTTACATGCACCCGTGCGCAAGTGTGCTCACTCTGTGCTGTGTGCTCAATACGCTACTTGGCTGCATTTACGAAGGTTACAATTTTATACTACACCATTTGCAGAACTTACAACATCGATCCCACACACCTTTTTTTTTTTATGGCGGCAGCCGTAGCCCTGTGTAAGAGTATTAATACATCTACGACAGGGATGATATTTCTCGTTGCCATATCAACGCATTTTCTCTCACGCACAATGGCAGAAACTCAATCAAAGATAGGCTCCTTTTTTAAGCCAATAACTTCAGCAGTCCGGTGTGCTGAGGGAAACCCAAACGAAGCAGCCACCTGCAGCGGGTATTCTTTCTTGCCGATATACGAGAAAAGCCTTGTTGTTTTATATAAAGACAAAATCGTTTTATATTTTTATGTCATTTGTTTATTCCTTTAAGCTAATATTTTTGCCTTACAGCTGAATGGAGCTCATGGTTTCAGGTCTGATCAGCAAAACGGAAAGGTTGAAGCATGTTAAATTAAAACTGAATAAACGGGTGTTTATATCGTTAATTAAGCCACTACATGTTGTTGCAAGCCTGAAACTTGAAATGACTCCTTTTGTGCCTACAGGCCTAAATTGTTGTCCAGAAAGGAAAACCGGTCATTTGTTAAAGTACTAATATCCGAAATTAAAAGAAAATTGAATTTATGTTTTTTCCTGAGAAAAGGTACTTGAAAAACCCAGGAAATGCTCTAAAATGCAGCTGAGAGCATCTAAAAATCCAGAAATTTTCGGGGCCCTTGGGCGGGGTCTGAACCCCACGCCATAGCTTTGCAAAATGTTGGTAAACCACAATGGAAATGCCCCACAGTTTTGAAAAATCCTGGGGAGAACCCTGATGATGTACATGTATCTCGTCACATCGAAAACAGTAAACACCGCGACATCGCTGAAACAAAGCCGAGACCCTTTGGACAGGTTATGTAGTTCGGCACTATCTGCAGTGTGCGTCGTTGGATGATTTCACAGACATAATAAAGACAATGTTTCCAGTATTAAAGTTCAAATAGTATGTGTTTGTAATCACGCAAAGGTACTTGTAAGCTTGTCTTTCCTGTTTTTTAGGAAAATACACATTTTTATTGAAAAATACACATTTTGGAATCTAATGATACACTTTTGCAGTTCTAAAGGTTGGCAGGTCTGTACTTGTATACGAGCCAAGGCCATGACTTATTAATGATCACAATTGAAGTGTTAAGCTCCACGTCATTTCATTGTGATATAGCTGGTATGTGCCTGGCAGTCGTGTAGTAAAACTGTTCATTGGTGATAATTAAAGTCACAGGATGGCCACGAATGAGTAAATGTACGTAAATCTGATGCTAAACTGGAGGATTTTCACAGCATCCTGTTTTTTTTTTTTTTGAAGATCATTGGTCATGCAGTTAGAAATAAAGACAAAATGGTAGAAATGTCATGTCCAGTATTGACTTCATATATATAGTAACTTGCGACCGGCCTACTTCTACTGCACAACTCGCGTTTTCTAAGTTTAGCAATCTGACAATGGTTCTTGTAAATCTTAGCGTTTATTCAGTTTTCTTTTTACCTAGCCATTGTAGACATAAATGTACGTGTTTATGTGTAGTCTACAGGTAGTCATTTGCAGAGCATGAAATTAGGCCCCAAAAATGGTCGTACAAAAGTACGAACACAATTATCAAATGTGCCATGACCAGCTTTTCATCAGATGTAAACCAAAGGCAAATGAAGACACTCACGCTGTTTAACCCCTTCTCAGCGGGAATTTCTCTCCGAAAGACGACTCCAAGAATTCCAGCCTCTCGGCTACAAAGGCCACCTGCCAAACCGCAAAGTGTCGGTTTGTGGCCCAGAGTGCAGAGCACGCTTTGAATTACATGGTGAAAAGGCTGATTGTTCGGTGGCATGCGGCTCTACTCAAGCTTCCACATTCCCGTTGCCTCTTTTCAAAGTGGGGACTATTGTGAAGCTGGTGATTATGATGCAAAATCGTTTTTTTCATTTCTGGGCTTTGCACAAAGACCAATTACCATATATACAAGAGCCAGGGTCTGTCTTCTTTCACAGTGTTCGCTCGAGCGTGGGCGGTGAATAATAGCTGAAAAGCGGGCTGAGGATCTCAATTTTTACGGCATATCTTAACGCGTCCTGCCATGAAGGGATTAAACGTCACAAAGACAAAACCAGAGTAAACACATTAACAGGCCATCGAGACATTCTGTCTGACTACATCAGCTTTTGGTCACACAAATACAGGTGTCAGAAAATGTCCAATGTCCAACTATGATTTCACAAGCTGCAGGGGTAAACTGCTGTGCCTTAGGTATGTACAAGCAAAAAGATGGCAGGTGCAGGTATGATTGTGAAGACACTCTGCCATTCTTGGCAGTACAAGAAGTACTATGGAAATGTGAACAAGTGGAGCCTTCCAGTGTTCAGAAATGTGTATTTCTCCTCTTTTCTTTTTAGCCTCCCAGTTCCAGCATTCCATCCAACCTTGTCAGAACTAATTGACTGCGATGGCTGATGACGGAGATTTCGATTCAGGAGAGTCTGGTGCCTCTAAGACATATCCTGCTCAGTGTTCCACTCTCCGCAAAAATGGCCATGTGATGCTGAAGAGCCGCCCCTGCAAAATTGTGGAGATGTCCACCTCTAAAACTGGAAAACATGGACATGCTAAGGTATGATAGTACAGAGAACTTGAAGAAAACACAACTGGCCTCAGTTCTTTCAAATCTCACAACAATAAGCTATTTTTGAAGGAAAAAAAATCAAGGTGAAATTCTTGTCTCATTTTCACATTCCTGTAGAAAGGTAGGCTGAATGAGTGATTTATTGTTAATTGGAAGATCAGATAATTTCCTCAAGTGCTTCTTTTTCTCTTGCATTTGCAGGTTCATCTTGTCGGTATTGATCTTTTCACTGGGAAGAAGTATGAAGATATCTGCCCATCTACTCACAATATGAATGTGCCCAATGTTGCACGCAATGACTTTCAGGTAGGATTTCATGTTAAAATTTGGTGGGGTTAAAATGTGTATCTTTGCAGAATGGATTACCTTGCCCAAAGCCCTCCTTTGCTAAAGTCACTCTTTGGGTCGGTTGGTAAGCAGCATAAAGATGCACTGTACTAAATATATCCTTCACAGGCATATCATATTGCACTGTTCTGCTATCCAACAACTGTGCCTTCCTTTTTTATGTGCATAATTGTGCAGTAAACCAACTGTAGCGATGAGGACTGCACAAAAGAGCCTGAAAAGTGCATTTTGCAGCCCATCAACTGCTTGTTACT